TATTATTTTATTTATGTGATAATATATATATATATATAAATTAGATGATAAATTATGATTAATTGATTTATTAATTGATTGATGATTTATGTATTTATGATTGATTAGTAAATTGTTTAGATATGATGAGCCAAGAAACATAAATTGTTTAGATATGATGAGTCAACAAACATAAATTGTTTAGATATGATGAGTCAGCATTGAGTCAGTAATGTGTAAGCCTTAAACTTCAACTATAAATAGAGGTCTAGCCTAACCAAACCAATTCACTCTTCAACACTTCTCCTCTACTATTCTCTCTTCTTAGTTCAAAAAACTTAGTTTAATTTATTTTATATTCTTCTGATTACCAACCGGTTCTTTGCCCCAAATTACTCTTTTCTTCTAGAAGTTAGCGAAAACGGAGACCAGATAATCCTAATCTCTAGGTGGTTGTAGATTCGTTGTGTATGAAATTTTATTGTGTGTATCCTAATCTTTAGGTAGTTATATGTTTGATATATGTAATCCTAATCCCTAGAGAGTCATATATTATATTGATATGAATTTTGGTATATGTAATCCTATTCGTAGGTTATTTCTTTTATATAAAACTTGGATGTAATCCTAATCTCTAGGTATTTTTAGATTATATTTTATGTAAGATTTGGTATATGTGATGCTCTAGGTGAATGTAAGATAGTTTTATATTAAATTTGTTGAATGTAATCTTAATCCTTAGAAAATTTTAGGATGTTTTCATATATTATATGTAACCCTTAGGGGTATTTAAATTAAATTATTTTAATCTCTAGAAATTAATTGGATTAATTATTGGATTTTTGGCTTTACTCTAATAGATGTGAATATTTGAATTATGATATGACGATTGGATTTGGATTTTACTCTTTGAATTCTGATTTCGAAGATTATGATATAATGATTGGATTTGAGTTTTACTCTGTTATATGTTGAATATGAAAATTATGATATTCTTGGATAATGGATTTGAAAATTATAATGGATTTGGAAATTATGTTATTATTGAAAGATTGACTTTGGAAATTATAATCTTGATTAAATTGATGTGGAAATCATGAAAACTATTTGACAATTATGAGAATTGTGACAAGATTGAATTGATTGTATGTGACTGAATAAATTAATAGTGGGAGGATAGCTTTGGGATGGTACCTCCCAAGGTGATGAACACAACTTTTGGGCTTTATGCCTCCGATGTGAAACTGATGTGAAAAAGATTGTATCCGTTCTTCCCAAAGTGGTGTCTGGCAGGGTTCCCCGGGATACTAGTAGCAACTTTGGGAAGAGGTGTGCACACTAGGAAGATATGAATTGATTATGGCCAATGTGATTTGTTTGTGACTGGCAGGGTTTCCCGGGTCACAGGGTAGACTGGCAGGGTTTCCCGGGTCTACCATGGTTCTCTTCCCACTAAGTACAATGAACTTAAACATGATTAATAATGAAATGTTATTTGATTTGATTATGATGAATGTCATTGAGTTGTGAATATTACCATTTATGTAATATTATGATTAATGTTGTGCTGAATATGTTAGTTGATAAATTACCCTTACTAAATACAATAAATGGACTAAATAAAGATTAATATAATTAATAACGAGTTGATACTTGATTTGAATTTTTGAGTTATATTACTTGATTTAATTATTATGAGTTCTATTTATTTATTTATTTATTTATTTTGTATTTGATTGGGATTACCAGCTTTGCTGACTTTTGTGTTTGTTGACTGCAATGATCCTGCGGCTGCGGGGGAGCAGATTTTCAGTAAGTCAGGTTGCAAGGATGGGGCTAGCAGTGGGCAGTGAGGACACGACTCAGGATTTCTAGCTGTAATAAATATTATGTATAAAAAAAAACTTTAGTCTTTGGTTTTATTTTAATGTAATAGAGTTAGCCTTGCACCTGTGCATTGTACAGGTGCGGCGGTAACATTTCCCAAATTTGATTATTTTGAACTTCCGCTGTTATTTATAAAATTATTGAATTTATTTATGCTATTATAAATTGTCAGAATTTAGGGTGTTACACTTCCAATATAACAATTAAAAATCTTACAGTTCCAACATAAAAATGATAGTGGGTCATTAATTAGATGTCTCTCACTAATTTCTTAATTTCAATTTTTGATTTAATTAAAAACTTATTCTGTAATTTTTTTTTAAAATTGATATGCAAGTATGAACACACAGTGTGAACACAAAGCTGAAATTGCATGAGAGCTTGACACATCAATTTTTTTGGTTCTCCTTTTAAGTATATAATAATATATGGAAATTTAATACGGCTGTCTCCTGCTAAAAGATGTTAAACCCTTTTTATATCAACTTCAAATTTCTAACTTTAAAAAAGAAGTAGGATATTAATACACTTGTTTGCCACTAATTAATGCTAAACTCTTTTCGCACTAACTATTTAGTTTAAATATTTTAAATTTTGAATTGAAATAAAGGGAAAAATGTTTCTGCAGTTAAAGCAGATAAGTTATCTGCAATTATTCCCCAAACGACGTCGTTTTGGTATTGAAATCTTAAAAAATTATAAATATAACGACTATTATAACCCTGAAATAAATTAAAATTACAAAAACACCATGATTTCTGTCCCATAACGACGTCGTATTGGCTTACTGTAGATAATTTATCTACAGTAACTGCAGAAAAAGCGAACCCTAAAATAAAATGTTTTTCATTCACATGTGATTTTAAATTCTATATCTTGTATAAAAGCATAATTAATGTTGAACTCTTTTCTTGGGTCTTTTGAATTTTCGATAAATATGAAAAAAAACATTAAATATTTTTTAAAATGAGGGTTAACAATTTTCATGTAGAAAATAGAGGAAATTTAACACAGCTGTCTCCCACTAAAAAATGTTAAATTCTTTTTCCACCTATATCAACTTCAAATTTCAAAATTTCAAAAAAAAGGGATATTAATGAACCTGTCTGCCACTAATTAATGCTGAACTCTTTTCTTTGGGTCTTTTGATTTTTCGATAAATATGGAAAAAAGCATTAAATGATTTTTAAAATGAGGGTTAACAATTCCAATATAGAAAGTAGTAGAAATTTAATACATCTGTCTCCCACTAAAAGATGTTAAATTCTTTTCCCACATATATCAACTTAAAATTTTAAATTTAAAAAAGAAGTGGGATATTAATGAATATGTCTGTCACTAATTAATGTTCAACTCTTTTATTTGGGTCTTTTGATTTTTTGATAAATATGGAAAAAAGCATTAAATATTTTTCAAAATAAGAGTTAACAATTCCCAAGTAAAAAATAGTGAAAATATAATACAGTTGTCTCCCACTAAAAGATGTTAAATTCTTTTCCTACCTATATCTACTTCAAATTTCGAAATTTAAAAAAGAAGTGGGATATTAATGCACATGTCTGCCACTAATTAATGTTGAACTCTTTTCTTTGGGTCTTTTGGTTTTTCGATAAGTATGAAAAAAAGTATTCAATGTTTTTTAAAATGAGGGTTAACAATTCCCATGTAGATAGTGAAAATTTAATACTGTTGTCTCCTACATAAAGATGTTAAATTCTTTTCCCACCTATATCAACTTTAAATTTCGAAATTTAAAAAAGAAGTGGGATATTAATGAACTTGTCTGCCACTAATTAACGCTAAACTCTTTTCTTTTGGTTTTTTGATAAATATGGAAAAAAAACATTCAATGTTTTTTAAAATGAGGGTTAACAATTCCCATGTAGAAAATAATAGAAATTTAATACAGTTGTCTTCCATTAAAAGATGTTAAATTCTTTTCTCAACTATACCAATTGAAAATTTCGAATTTTAAAAAAGAAGTGGGATATTAATGCACCTGTCTGCCACTATTTAATGTTATCAAAAAAAAAAAAATATTTTAAATTTTGTTATCAAAAAAAAAAATATTTTAAATTTTGTTATCAAAAAAAAAAATATTTTAAATTTCGAATTGAATAAATTGTTTTTCATACTTGTCTTTTAAAATTCTATATCTCGTTTGATTGTTTTTCATTCATCTGTTTTAAAATTCTTTATCTCGTATAATTATTTTTCATTTTCTATCTTATATTTATGAGCATTGGCAACTCCCATATTTATGAGGATTCTATTCATATTAGCAATGTTGTTAAAATCGAGATTTTAAGTAAGATCGGAAAGGGATTAAAAAATCGTAAAACTTAAAATCGTAATGTAAAAAAATCGTAAAAAATCGTTAAAACGTAAAAGCGTTTGGAATATTGATAAAATCGTTTTGACAAAAAAAAATCGTAAAAACATAAAATCGTAGTGATAAATTGAGATTTTAACAACTATGCATATTAACATTAACAATTTTCCATTTTTATTCATTGAATTGACAACTCATTATTAACATAAGCAATTACAACAATTACACATAGTAAATGACTTATTCCTAATAGGTATATTAATTACTGCTATTTTCATTAATTTAAAAAACTCCTCATAATATAATTACTTTACTAGTGAATTACCCGTGCCGATGCACGGGGAAAAAAATTGGTTTGTTTGGCATGGTGGGTCGGCCCTCCGGGCCGAACTCATTTTGTCAGTATTTCAAAGGTCCCAAACAGTCATTTTTTTTAAATAACAAAATAGTCATTCATTGTTACATTAAAAATAGGAAAGAAAATAGGATAATAAAGGTCATATCTTTGAAGATAGATAAGGAAAAGAGACGCGAATAAACAGTCATTTTTTTTTGTCTTTACCTGTACCATACAACGAAGTTATATCTTTGAAGAAAGAACCCAATATACTATAGCAGTCTTTGAAATACTTCCTTGTAAACTATATTAAGGGTACTATTCGTAACGCAACCATTTTCATCAAGTATCAATATCTTCAATCCATGCTTACTCTTTACTCTAGACAGTGCCACATATAATTGCCCATGAGTGAAGACAGGCTTAGGGAGATAAATTGCAACATGTGAAAGTGATTGTCCTTGACTATTGTTGATAGTCATGGCAAACGATACAATCAGGGGGAATTGTCTTCTTTGGAAATTTACAGGAAATGTATGACTCGATGGGCTCATCGTCATTCTAGGGATTAACACAGTTTCCCCTATATTGCTTCCTGTAAGTACAATTGCCTCAACAACATGATTCCCTAATTTTGTAATAAGCAATCTCGTGTCATTGCATAAACCTCTCGACTGATCAATATTTCTTAATAGCATTACTGGAACTTTAACTTTCAAGATTAATTTATTATCAGGAATCCCTGAGCATGATAATGTATTTAAGATCTCAGGGGTGATTTCATCATCCTCAACAGAGGAAGTCCCACTTTGCTTAAGAATTTTATCCGAACTCAAAAAAGTCCTTTCTTCACCAGGAATCATAGACATTAGGTGCTCGTTTAACATAGCAACATCGGACAATTTAGGAGTTAGAATATCACGTTCTTTAAAGAAGGTCTGATCCAAAATATTATCCAAGAGATTCGGATAAACAAAATTAACCATATCCGACAGCGGATCTTCCGATTCTCTAATCAGCAATTCATCTGGAATTGTTATAATAGATTCCCCATCAACATCATCTCCAAGATTACCATCCCCAACTTTAAGTAGCCACTCAGAAAATACTTTTATTTCCTCTAAATTGTGAGCGCTACTTCCAGAATTAAGACGCATGTTCTTGGTCAAAGTTAATAAATGACAATGGGACCATAGATGAGAAAAATTGATGGTTGCATGAACTATATCTTGTCTGCTGCCATGAGGAATGACAGGTAATATTTGCCGAAAGTCACCTCATAGAACAACAACTTTTCCACCAAATGGCATATCAACACAGCTTGTATCAGAAATTCTAAGAACATCTCTCAGTGTCCTATCCAGAGCCTCAAAGCAAAATCTATGTACCATTGGAGCTTCATCCCAAATGATTAACTTTGTTTTTTTACAGCAACTCAGCTATAGTAGATTTCGGCCTTATATTACACGTTGAATATTCATTGATTTGAATAGGAATACGAAATCTAGAATGCGTTGTTCGTCCTCCAGGAAGCAGAAGGGAAGCAATTCCGCTAGAAGCAACATTAAGTACGATTCCAGCTTTTGATCTAATAGATGCTGAAAGAGTATTCCAAATAAATGTTTTTCCTGTACCGCCGAACCCGTATAGGAAAAATAACCCTCCATTACCTGCCGTAACTGCTGAAACAATTTTATCATAAACAGCTTTCTGCTCATCAGTGAGGGAATTAATTAGTCTTTTATGCTCCTCTTCCAAAGCAAATCTGCCATACATTAATTCATCCAACACTAATCGATTTTGCATATCAAGCAAAGTTTCACTATTGATGCGTGGCATTGACGGATAATCAGAGAGGCATTTTCCATTGCTCTGCAGTACCTTATCAATTTCTTCAAGAGTTATGTGTTTTATAGACTCTTCTGTAAGAATTGCATCTGACAAAGCATAAAATTCAAAGGAAAAAAAATAAAAAAAAATAAAAAAGATAAAGTAATCAAAGAAAGAAAAGAGAGCGAAATAAGTACTAAAGCATCATTTGCTGAATGCGGGCAAAAAAAAAAAACAAAATAAGCACTAAAACAACATTTGCTGAATACGGGCAAAAAAAGCTAATAAGTACTAAGGAAGCATATGCTGATTTCGGTTAAACAAAAAAAAATTGTATGAAATATTATTATAACACGTACCTTGACGTCCTATTCTTTTCCTATGCCGATAAACAACGTCGTCGGATAAAAATTTCCAACACTCTTCCCAAACTTTTTCAGGTCTGTTCATTGAGTTGGCAAATAACAACAGAGCAAACAGACATCTAAGATAAGCAGCAGATCCCCAGGAATTTGCCTCCTTAATTGCATCAATGTACTCATTGTCATCATCCAGAAGTCCTAAAGAATAGCATGCATCCTTAAATGTAGGAAAAACCACGTCATTGATCGTTCTAAGATCTTCATAACTGGTGCAACCTCTTTGAAAATTAAGCAAGGTGCGAAGATATGAATCTTCTCCATTATTGGCAGAAAAACGATTTATCCTTCCAATGGAAAATCCTTTTTTTCTCGGATTCCATTCATGCGTTTTTTCTTTGAAAACAAATTCAGTCGGGTACTCTCCATAAACATTTAACTAAACATTTGTAAGTACCTCAGGTCGTCAAGCTCCAACACCACCATTTTTGTCTTCCTACCAGAAACCACACGATCACAAACTTTCTCAATTCCTGAGATTAAACCAATGACGTCTACAAAAAAAAACGCAGCAAAGAGTTTGTGAAAAAAATTATGCAATAATAAAAAACGAATACAGAAACATAAAAAACACAGTTAATGAAAAAAATAATGATACAGAATAAGATTACTCGTGACAAAACATTAAAAACACAAAACTATAACCGCAAAGAGTTTAAAAATAAGGAAATAGTCATGATACAGAATAAACCAATGACGTTTAAAAATTAAAAAAAGGCAGCAAAGAGTATGGGAAAAAAATAAAACCCGCAATAATTAAAAAAAGGATAACAGTGAGGAAGAATCTATTACCGACTAAATAAGGGGAGTCAAACGTTTCTTTCTCAATGATGTTATAATCAACAAAATCAAAATCACTCGCACAAATATCAGAAACAACAATCGATTTAACATCAGTCCTCAAGTTGAAAGACAAACGATACTGATGCTTGGTTGGCCTAAACACATCGCTATTGAATCCAACTCCAAATTTTTTTATAAAATAACACTCTCCTTCGTTGATTATATTCCGCACCTGCAAGGTACCTTTGACAGTGGCGTGGATCCTACCACCCTACAAAAGAATGGAGCCAACTTATGTCAACAACGTTAACTAAAATGATCAAAAAAAAGATGGAAGATTTTTAAAACACAGAACACAACATATTCATCCAATAAAACCATTTCAAGATTGTCCTCCAAATTTTTACGCTGAAAGTTAGGAACTTTCCAAGTCCGAACCACCTTCACCTTAATCCTCCAGTCCTCCTTGGCAGGATTAACATCCTTCAGAAAATCATATTTTGAACTCATATTTTGTGTAAGAAGAAAAAACAGAGAAGCAATCACCGACGTTGAAGAATAATGCGTATAAGGAATTGTATAAATGAGAGTGATTTATAGTTTTTGAATTAAACTGAATAAAGATTTAAAAAACAAAGATAACGACAAAAGAGTGACTCAGTAGTTATAAATGAGATTTTCATGGAATAAAACAGTCATTTGTTTTAATAACAATGAATATCCCAATTTTTTTTCAAAAAATGTAAAGATTTGAATTAAACTCAATAAAGGTTAAAAAAACGATTAGATTACATGATAACCATCAATTATTTAAAAAACAAAGATGACGACAAAAGAGTGATTCAGTAGTTATAAATGAGATTTTCATGGAATAAAACAGAAGTTTTTTCTAATAACAAAACACTCATACCTGATTCCACTGAATCAAGAGGTTAATAAAAGATTCAAATTTAAAAATCTGAAAATAAGGAACAAAGGTCGGGATATGTATAATTTTTTTTTTTACTAATTAATTTTTTTTGAGTAAATAGAATTGTATTCTTTAAAAAATGTGAAGTTTTTGAATTAAACTGAATAAAGATTTAAAAAACAAAGATAACGACAAAGAGTGATTTAGTAGTTATAAATCAATGAATATCCCGTTTTTTAACAGTCATTTCATGGAATAAAATAGTCATTTGTTTTAATAACAATGAATATCCTATTTTTTTTCAAAAAGCGTAAAGATTTGAATTAAACTGAATAAAGGTTAAAAAAAACGATTAGATTACATGATCAACATCAATTATTTAAAAAACAAAGATGACGTCAAAAGAGTGATTCAGTAGTTATAAATGAGATTTTCATGGAATAAAACAGTCATTTGTTTTAATAACAATGAATATCCCATTTTTTTTTTCAAAAAACGTAAAGATTTGAATTAAACTGAATAAAGGTTAAAAAAACGATTAGATTACATGATCAACATCAATTATTTAAAAAACAAAGATGACGACAAAAGAGTGATTTAGTAGTTATAAATGAGATTTTCATGGAATAAAACAGAAGTTTTTTCTAATAACAAAACACTCATACCTGATTCCACTGAATCAAGAGGTTAATAAAAGATTCAAATTTAAAAATCTGAAAATAAGGAACAAAGGTCGGAATATTTATATATTTTTTTTACTAATTAATTTTTTTTCGAGTAAATAGAATTGTATTCTTTAAAAAATGTGAAGTTTTTGAATTAAACTGAATAAAGATTTAAAAAACAAAGATAACAACAAAGAGTGATTAAGTAGTTATAAATCAATGAATATCCCGTTTTTTAACAGTCATTTCATGGAATAAAACAGTCATTTGTTTTAATAACAATGAATATCCTGTTTTTTTTCTTCAAAAAATGTAAAGATTTGAATTAAATTGAATAAATGTTAAAAAAACGATTAGATTACATGATCAACATCAATTATTTAAAAAACAAAGATGACGACAAATAGTGATTTAGTAGTTATAAATCAATGAATAAGCAATCTTGACCATTGATTTAAAGTAACAAATCCTGTCAATTGAAAATATAATTCTTTTTTGTATTTATTATATTCACCAATTTACCATTAAAGGAAACTTTTTTAAATGTTGTAGTGTGAACACATTGGTGAAATTGAACCACAGTGTGACACGTCAGCAAGGTTTCCACAGAATGGAATTCCTTTATAATATAAGACATCAATTATTTAAAAAACAAAGATGACGACAAAAGAGTGATTTAATAGTTATAAATGAGATTTTCATGGAATAAAACAGAAATTTTTTCTAATAACAAAACACCCATACCTGATTCCACTGAATCAAGAGGTTAATAAAAGATTCAAATTTAAAAATCTGAAAATAAAGAACAAAGGTCGGGATATGTATAATTTTTTTTTTTACTAATTAATTTTTTTTCGAGTAAATAGAATTGTATTCTTTAAAAAATGTGAAGTTTTTGAATTAAACTGAATAAAGATTTAAAAAACAAAGATAACGACAAAGAGTGATTAAGTAGTTATAAATCAATGAATATCCCGTTTTTTAACAGTCATTTCATGGAATAAAACAGTCATTTGTTTTAATAACAATGAATATCCTTTTTTTTCTTCAAAAAACGTAAAGATTTGAATTAAACTGAATAAAGGTTAAAAAAGCGATTAGATTACATGATCAACATCAATTATTTAAAAAACAAAGATGACGACAAAGAGTGATTTAGTAGTTATAAATCAATGAATAAACAATCTTGACCATTGATTTAAAGTAACAAATCCTGTCAATTGAAAATATAATTCTTTTTTGTATTTATTATATTCACCGATTTACCATTAAAGGAAACTTTTTTAAATGTTGTAGTGTGAACACATTGGTGAAATTGAACCACAGTGCGACACGTCAGCAAGGTTTCCACAGAATGGAATTCCTTTATAATATAAGATTATTATTTTATTATTCTTATTAATGGCCTGTTTGGTGTGACGTATAAGGCATGATAGTATAAGCTTATACTATACGTTATGACATTTTCAGTTGTTTGGTGTTACCATCGTATAGTATAAGCTTATACAGCATAATCCCTTAATACATCAAAACGATGTATAACTTAGGTCTTGTTTGGTGCATAGTATTGGATAAGGCCTGATAGCATAAGACGTGACAGTATAAGACCTGATTGTATAAGATTTGATTAAATTTTAATGCTATCCAGCGTTTGGTATGGTATTGTATAAGATAATATCTTCCAATATATTAAAAATTAATATATTAAAAAAAATTATTTTAATATATTAATATTGAAATGATATATTAGTTCTTGAAAATTGTACTTATAAGCGATATTAATACATCAACCTCTTATCAGGCCTAATCCCTCACCCTTAGGGCCTGTTTGGTGTGATGTATAAGGCCTGATAGTATAAGCTTATACTATACATTAATGAATTTTCAGTTGTTTGGTGTAATCATTGTATAGTATAAGCTTATATAGCAGATCCCCTAATACATCAAAATGATGTATAACTTAATCAAGCCTAGAGAGGTGGGATTATACCTGATAAGGAATTGATGTATTAGCCTAATCCCATCCCATTCTTCTCTTTCCCATTGTAACCTTTTACCCTTAACCCCCCTTCTTCCCCACCCCGTTGTAATCTCATTTCTTCTTCTTCTCAAATCACATCAGTGTAGAAAGTTGTAACAAAATTGAATTCTGATTTTTCAAATTGTTACAATAATAACAACGAAACCTTGATGCTAGTGCCAGCTTGGGAGGGAAACATTGTCCCCATTTTAACACATTGTGTTTGTATTGACGGAGATCCCAAAACTTGCCTCCCATTCTAATTTATGCATTTATCTTCTATAATCTGCAATCAAATCCAGAGACGCATTCATCGTAAGATCTATTCATGCTCGAATCATCAAATAGGGCTTTCGCATGAGTGTTTTCTTGATGAACAACCTCCTCAATTTCTATGCTAAAATTGGTTCCTTCTCTGATGTTCACCGCGTGTTCGGTGAAATGCCCCTTAAGACCTCGTTCTCTTGGAACACCATTTTCTCCGATTATGCTAAAGGGGCGACATGGAAGCTGCACACTGTGTGTTTGATGAAATTCCTCAACCTGATTCAGTCTCCCAATAATAGTTTTTTGTTAAAATATTAATTTTTATTTCTACAAAATTTATTTATTTTTTAGACATACTAAATTAATATCATATGACATATATAGAAGAATTATATAAAAAAATTATTAAAGGGTATCTTTGTCAAAAATATCTTTTTTATCCTATATAGTATTATACAGTGCATTACCAAACACTGGATAATATTATTTTATACAATACATTATCTTATACAATGTCATGCCAAACGTTGGATAGTATTAAAATCTAATCAGGGCTTATACTATCAGGCCTTATACTATCAGGTCTTATACTATCAGGTCTAATCTTATACTATGCACCAAATATGCCCTTAGGTCGGATTAAGTTATACATCGTTTTGATGTATTAAGGGGTCCTGCTGTATAAACTTATACTATACGATGGTCACACCAAACAACTGAAAATGTCATAACGTATAGTATAAGCTTATACTATCAGGTCTTATACGTTACACCAAACAGGGCCTTAATCCGGCCTAGGAGTGAGGGATAAGGCTGATAAGAGATTGATGTATTAACATCGTTGACCAATGTAATTCTCAAAAATTAATATATTATTTTAATATTAATCTATTAAAATAAAAATAAATTTTTCAATATATTAATTTTTAAAATATTGAATATTTTTATTTTTATAAAAATTAATTTATATTTTGGACACACTAATATAAAAATTAATATCATATGACATTTTTTGAAGAATTATATAAATTCTTTATTAAAGGATATTTTTATTAAAAATATTTATTTTTATCATATATAGTATTATACAATGCATTACCAAATACTAGATGATATTATCTCATATAATATATTATTTTATACAATACCGTGCTAAATGTTGGATAATATTAAAATTCAATAATATCTTATACAATCAGGCCTTATCCTATACTATGTACCAAACAAGCCCAAAATGTTTATATCCTTAATCTTGATTATTGATCTTATTTATATCTATTGATATAAAAAAATTTATTCTTATATCGTACGCGTGTGAACAATTTTGTTTTTACAAAATTAAATTACAGCTCCAAAGCGTGATAATGTCTTAATTGCAAACGACTCCTCGTCTCTCTCTCTCTCTCTCTCTCCTAGCCTTATTTATCAGCCGTCACTGCTATCTCTGAATTTCGCCCTTTCTTCTTCTTCTTGTTCTTCTCAGTTCTTACTCTGCTGTTGTCATTTCTGAATTTCAAAGCTTATTCGAGGATGTTATCGGAGTTGGGAAACGACGCTTTCTGATTTCTGTTCCTCATCGTAACCGCGACACTCGCAGGTCTCATCCTCCAATTTAACATCATAAAAAGGTACCTGAGATCCTTTCCCCTATTTTCCCTAAGATTTAATTGCATGTCTTCGTACTTCTCTTAACATATCATTTCTCCTCTATGTTTATGCCTATTTCGATCGTGTTCTCCAAACTATCTTCGTTTTTTTTTTTACTGATATAAGATGGCTTTAGTTTAGCATTTAGGGATTTAATAATCTGTGGAAAATAATTAACAAAACAAGGGGATAAATGTATCATTTGAATTAATTGTAACATGCATTTTATAATTTGACATGTGAGTGTATATTGGACATGAATTTGGGTGGTGCATGACCTTCAGAGTCATCAAGAGGAATGGAAACATCAGTCAATAACGGTCATTCAAATGGGGACTGCAATTTCCTTGCTCAGCCCATGTATAAGCGGCGGAAAGTTTCTGCTATTCGTGATTTCCCAGAACAATGTGGACCACTTGCTTCAAGGATTGATCCAGTGTTAAAGGTAGATAGTGCTGGTTTTGGTTCTGCTAATGGTACAGTTGTTGAGGATAAGAATGGTGAACATTTAGGGGGTGAAGCTGCTGGAACTTCCAAGTATGAAGATGATTCTCGGCATTCTGAGTTTGAAAAGGATTCGTTTCTTACTGAGACTCTTGGCCAAACAATTGAATCTAGTTTGAAGAAGGAAAGTTCTGTGGCCTCATCTCATCACACGGATGGGCCTACATTGGGAAATGATGAACCTGCAGAAGTGAAGTTGTTGGACATAGAAGCTTTGGATACAACTGTGAACTCTGTAAAATGTGACTCCTCTTATATGTCAAAGTCATCTTCTCCGGTGGGTGAGGCGGCTTTGTCAAGTTTTTCAAATTCCTTATCATCCGATGTCAATATAGATGGTTCCAGTGCTTATTTGGTGGAGGCTGTAACTAGAAGGTATCTTCCTCGAAGAAAAGTTTCGGTTCTCAGAGACTTTCCTCCTTTTTGTGGACGCGATGCTCCATCTCTAAGTAAGGATGAGCCTCTAAAGAGGATCTCTTCATTGAGTAACAAGAGAGCTCGTCAACAGGACTTGGCTGTAGATGACAATCCGTTGAAAAAAGTAGCAGTCACTGATGTGAAAGAAGTGGAAGATAACATTCAAGATGAGTGTGGTTCTAAGGGAAAGTTTGTGGACATCGTTCAAGCTGATTCTGAAGGGAATGCTACAGGGAGAGTGAAGAAGCTGGATGTATTTGAACCATCTTCTGGGATTAAACTGGAAAAAACAAAAGAAAAGTACATTGCGCATTTTGAAAAAAGTAATCGTCATCAGGTTGAAATAAAATCCAAGGCAGTGGTTAAAGATGAAGTCCAAAGACCTGAGACAAAACCTTTGAATGTGTCAAGTAGTAAGCATGAGTTGAAAAGAGAGCTCAAAGGATTGCAGATCTCATCAGACAGGAAAGTAGTGCTGGGTTTGATGGCAAAATCAGAATGTCCTTTGAGTTCTGATAAAGGTTCCTCCAAATTTAAATTGATTGGTGGTACGGATGAAAGCAAGGGAAAGAAAGTTGGTGTTAATGCACGGCCTGACAGGTCTAAGGTTGCTATCAAGACTAAAGACGGACTGAATCATTCTGGGCAGAAGCCTTTGAAAAAGAAAAAAGAAGATGCTGCTTCTGACGGTATGGGTCAACTAGAAATTTGGGAAAAGAAGGATTCTCTTCATTCTGAGCAGAAGCCTTTGAAAAAGGAAAAAGGAAATGCTGCTTCTGATGGTATGGGTCAATTAGTAATTTGGGAAAAGAAGGATTCTCTTGACCCTAATGAAAATATTGAAGACTTTCAGGTTGCCCGGAAATCACATGGTCACCATGTAACTATTCCTCCTCATAATTTCAGTGGACATGACAATGACTCAAATGTGACCCGTAATAAAGTGAGGGAAACATTACGCCTGTATCAAGCTGTTTCTAGAAAGCTTTTGCAGGAAGTTGAAGCAAAACCAAAAGACCGAGAAAATACTCCCAAGAGGATTGATTTACAAGCGGCAAAGATCCTTAAGGGGAAAGAGAAATATATTAACACAGGCAAGCAGATCTTGGGATCTGTCCCTGGAGTTGAAGTTGGTGATGAATTTCAATATAGGGTGGAGCTTAATATAATTGGCCTTCATCGCCAGACTCAGGGTGGCATAGATTATGTGAAGCACAATGGTAAGATCCTAGCAACTAGTATTGTTGCATCCGGGGGCTATGCTGATGAGTTGGATAATTCGGATGTCTTGATATATACAGGGCAGGGTGGGAATGTGATGAACACCGATAAAGCACCTGTAGATCAGAAGCTTGAGCGGGGCAATCTTGCTTTGAAGAACAGTAGCGAGGAAAAAAATCCTGTTAGGGTGATACGAGGGTATGAATCAATGGATGGAAATGGTAAGACATATGTTTATGATGGACTCTATCTAGTTGATTCATGTTGGCAGGATATGGGGCCACACGGGAAGCTGGTTTATAAGTTTCGCTTGCGAAGAATCCCAGGTCAACCAGAGCTTGCTTTGAAGGAAGTGAAGAAATCTAAAAAGTTCAAAACAAGAGAAGGCCTATGTGTTGATGATATTTCTTATGGGAAAGAGCGAATTCCCATATGTGCTGTGAACACCATAGATGATGAAAAACCCCCAACATTTAAATACATAACTAGCATGATATATCCTGATTGCGATCTCATTCCTCCGGAAGGATGTGGTTGTATTGATGGATGCTCTGACTTAAAGAAATGTTCTTGTGTAGTAAAAAATGGGGGAGAGATCCCTTTCAATCATAATGGGGCAATTGTAGAGGCAAAGCCTCTAGTCTATGAGTGTGGACCTTCTTGCAAGTGCCCTTCAACATGCTACAATAGAGTCAGCCAACTTGGTATAAAGTTTCAACTTGAAATTTTTAAAACCAATTCAAGGGGATGGGGTGTGAGATCCCTAAATTCCATCCCTTCAGGAAGTTTTATCTGCGAATATTTAGGAGAGCTTCTTGAAGAAAAGGAAGCCGAACAAAGAACTGGTAATGATGAGTATCTTTTTGATATTGGAAATAACTTCACCAACAGTACTCTTTGGGATGGACTTTCGACCCTTATGCCTGATACACAGTCAAGTTCTTGTGAAGTTGTGAAGGAGGGTAGCTTCACCATTGATGCCGCCCAGTTTGGTAACGTGGGGAGATTCATCAACCATAGTTGCTCCCCTAATCTTTATGCTCAGAATGTCCTTTTTGATCATCATGACAATAGGATTCCTCACATTATGCTCTTTGCTGCTGAGAACATTCCTCCCTTGCAAGAGTTGTCTTACGATTACAATTATACGATAGATCAAGTCCGTGATTCTAGTGGCAATATAAAAAAGAAGGCTTGCTATTGTGGTTCTGTGGATTGTACAGGTAGGATGTATTGAGGCCTGCCATGGTTAATCGTTGGAAAATTGATCTTTTACCTTCTCAATTCAAACTCAGTTTATATGCAGAAAAGTTTTCCAATTTAATTTTGAACTACATGATAATCGTTGCTTTCTCTACCTGTATGCATATAATCTCGTTTAAATGTTGCATTGTCCACCTGTATGTATATATAATCTTTGTTAGCCCACTCATGCTCTCTTCTTCTCTCTTCACTCCCTAACCCTGTCATCTTCGTCATCCCCGTCTCTCTCCAGTTGCGGAGCCTGCAAATCCTATGCTTATGGTGGCTTACAAGCAACAAAACAACATCAGACACTTTTATGATATATTTTGGTTAGCTTGAGTTAGTTTTAACCAGTAGTTATTTCATTTGGTTAATTTATAACTTTATATATTTTGGTTCTTGTAAGGAGACAAAAAAAATCTCAAGTGCATATTCTAGTGTGGAAAATAGTTTCTTTGCGAAAATATAAAGATAAAACTACATACAATTGGTTCTTATTCTTACCAATTGATTCTTATTCTTACTCTTAGAAGTCGATGAGTGTTGTGTACTCACTTTATTTTTTACTATTCATAGTGCATTCTCTTTCCTCTGTTTTTTCTGTACAATTACACTTCGAAACGCTCCCTGAATCCAACTTCAATAGCATTTAAGATCAATGGCCAATGTTGTACATGGTTAAATCAAATATCATAGCTCAGTTGATGTATGAGAGCTGAACAATTGAAAATGAGTATATGTTTGATCTTCTTCAGTATTATTTTTGGGAGAGATTTAAAGTCTTAATCCTGGATCCGCTCCAAACAAGATTGTTCAATCCTGTATTTTACATATCCATACGATTGAGTCCTTGGGTTTCTGAAATAGTGTAAAGTGCTTCGAATCATTGCTATTTGACTCGGACCCGTCCGCTTATGCAATCTTTTTTATGTGAGCCCGCTTAGCTTAGAGGTTAGAGCATCGCATTTGTAATACGATGGTCATCGGTTCTCCGTAGAAAATACCTGTGGTTTATCCAAAAAAATAAAAAAAGTTAAAAAAAAATCAATGGCCTATAGTTCACATTAGACAGTACCTCAAACCCAATAAGACTAGTGATGAAAGGGGTGTTCGTGCTCCTTCTAATCCGATCTACAGCCTTCTAATACAAAATTTGAATGAGTCTAAAAGCTTAGAGATAAGAATTGTTAGAACCCACAAATAAAAAAATAGTGTCAAATTTAGCATCAAATATGAATTAATTTTAGTTACGCAAACATAAAATGATCTTTATATTTAGTTTCCAAAAAAAAAAAATGTTAGTTACGCAAAGCAAAAACTCTTATAGAAGTAAAATGAACCAAATTTTTTACGAGCTAAAGTTGTAGGGAGTAGTTGCACTTTTTCATTTTTTAATAAAAAAAATGTCTTCAACAAAAAAAATCAAACGAGGCCTAAATATTCGCTTCCATCCTTCCTCCTTTTGAGTGCTATTTGGAGAAGGGAAAAGAGGGAAAGCTTACCTCTCGTACTTCCATTATTCTTTTGGTTTGAAGAATATCCTTAAGCTAAACCAAATAGAATGGCCATTTCGTTGATTGATTTGTACTTGTTCTAATCGGTATATTGGGCTAAGACCTGGCCTAATTTCCTAAAATTCCATAGCAATCTCTCCGTGCATAACTGGTTCAGGGTTATCCCATCAAATTAGAAAATATATTGTAAAAGGTGTCCTCAATCCCCCACAATCAGATGATTCTCTACTTATTTGGATACAATTAAAAGGCACGCATTCTCCACCCTATTTTCTTATGACTTGAGTGCCTAAGTAATAGAGCACCACCACCAACCACAGTAAAACAAAATGAAAAAGAATATCGTTAAGTATTCATAGCCAACAAAACCAAAACTGGAGTTGTTTATATTTTATTTTCCCCAACATTCCACTAAGTGGGATGCCAGAGTTGTTAGGTATGAACCATGCTTTTTTTAATAAACATTAGTTACATTTCTTTATGTTATTTATACCAGTAATTGATTTACGGATAATGAATTAATTTCAAGATATATGATTTTTCCATTATAATAGGTTGTTCAAAAGGATTTCCTAGGTGGTTTGGCCAATAGTGGGCCAAGAAATACTGAATAATGATATTTTACCTCTACGAAATATCAGATGAAATAAAACAGATTTTTTTTTTCATATGAAACCTAATCGTATAGATGATTGGTATCTAGGGTAAATAAAATTACTTTACTTGGCTTATTCATGGCACTTAATACTAAGTGACTCTATTAAGGATTGTACTTTGCGAGATATTTTTTGGTGGATCTGGAACATGATGGTCACTTCTCAAAATAGAAAAAAAAAAAAGGGATTGAGAGGGGGAAAACCAAAAAGAGAGGGATAAAAATGAAATAATATTTTCTATTTATGAAAAAAGGATCATTGAATAAGTAGTAGACTGGAGCATACTAAATTTTTCCGTAATTTGCCAGCCTAATACGTACGATATATCAATTTAATTTTAACAATATCAAGGTTCAAGGAAATACCATTAAGAGAGAAAAGGTACATTGTATTTTATTCATATACCATGTTGATTCAAATGTTAAGTACATGAATCCCCACAGTTTTAGTCCCCAATACAAAGAGCACTACCTTCACCCACCACATTGGAACATTCTTAGATTCACAAACTATAAAATACTAGTCATATATATAGTCGCTATCTATTACTTGTGCTCTGAAAAGTGACTTTTCTTTTTAACCAAGCTGAATTTCTGTGTCATAAATAGCTCCAGCCTTCCATTCAAAAGAGAGAGCATTCTTGGACTCCACCCAATACAGCCCTGCACTACCACTTACTTGGAACCTCAACTTGATGTCACCGCTAGGAGGGTTAGCAGCATCAAACACCGCCCCAAAGGCCCTACGCATTGGCCTCCACTCTTTGCAGTCTTCCTACTCCATTAACATATTTAATTTCAAATTAAATAATTGATTATTAACACTCTCAATTCTCAAATTAAGTATATATGGAAAAAAATTTGCAGGGTACAATTATCATACCTTAATAACTCCTCATGCATATTAAATTAAGATTCAAATCAACAAATATATATATATATATATTTATATACCTGCCACAACTCCATAGCAGTCACATCGTATGTTCCGCCAACATAGAGAACGAGAATGGCTAAGTAGTGAGGGTTTCTGCTGCGATCATGGACCTTAAGCACGACGTTATTATTGCCACCGTAATTGCAAGGAACCCTTTTGTATTCTACATCAATCACACCATATTTGAAAAGCTCTGCAGATGCATCATCGTTTCTACCTAATCTTGAATAGCCACGTGGACTCATGATGAAGTCTGTTCTGTCTCCGACGCCATAATCTGTCACCACCACGTATGCTCCATACTCATCACAGTATTGTGGTATTTTGCACCTAACCTGATTTTCCGTCATTTATATTTGTTAAATAAACATAATCTTGGAGGCTAACAAGGTTTTTCTTTTATATTATATATATTTTTTGAGTCTCTTCAACTTGGTTCATCTTTCAGACTAATCTAGTTTGAGCACTATCAGACCCATATAGAGGGAGTGGCTCTTTCAAGACCATTTTTTTTTTATTTCCAATGCTTGAACACGAGACCTCTGCTTAAGGAACACAAGCTCATTACCACTTGTGTTAATGGTGTTTGATTATATATTATATATTTTGTTTCTATGATGAAGTCTTCTTTCACTATGGATTATATTAATGAGCTTTAAACCTCTCATATTGTAAGAAATGGATAGATCTCATGCTACAGATTCAAAGTCATGACATGTTTCACATTTTTTATAAAAAAAATTTACAACATGAAAGATTAGTTGCAGAAAGTTTTCTTCTCCTATCGGAGAAGATGATTTCCTTATATTAATTATAGGAAATGCTTTTTTCATATTATATGAGAAAGCTTTTTACATATTACATACCTATTGAAATCTAAACCAATATTTTTTTAAAAAAAAAATTTAGTTGCGGAGCGCACCTAATTATGTCTCTACATGAGCAATGTTTTCTCATTTAACATGAAAAAAAACATTTTCCATTAATTATTTAAAGAAAGAAAAGAGATTATCATATATATGATTTAAAGGATCAAGGTAATCAATTCTAAAAGAAATCTCTTTATGTTTATTTTATTTAGTGGCCTTAACGACATGGAATATGAATGTCAATAAACTATTATTTTCAAATGAAAAAGGCATGTTTTGAGCTACTAATATTCATTATGAAGCCGACTACAATAGTAAAACTTTTCTTAATTTGTTCATAAAATTAAAGTATTTAAGTAGAGTTACCTGATAGCATGCACCGCAGCCAGATCCATTCTTCCATAGCCAAGACACGCCTGCGACACTGCCATCGTTTACCGTCTTGCCATAATCGTCAAAGCCACAAGCTCCCCCTAAAACATATTATCAATTGACCATTAATATCGTTTATATGTTATGCGATGTTGTTAAAGAAATATAAAATAATTAATATAACTTTATCTAATAGTTTAATTAGTTATTGAATTGAAATAATTATACACATTGTATCATAGTCTCCGTAAATAAATAATTACAAATTCATTTATCTTACTGTTACTATTTTATTAATAGAAATAATTAAATATTATAGAATTTCTCTAACAAAAGTATTGTAATGTTTAGGTTACACATTTTATTATCCACAAATAATGCACCATCATGTACTAAAAATAATAATAATAATGCACCTTCAAGGAGGAGCATGCATTACCAAAAGTAAATTCTTCAAATAAATTTTCCTTGCATATATAGAAAACTAATTGCAGTTTCAAAACTAATGATATATAGGTACATATATTACATGTACGCTGACAATATAGAAATGCGTTTGGTCATGTACTAAAATAAAGAAAAAAGAAAAAAGAAATGTGTTTTGTACAGACACAATATATAAGCAAAAGCAAGTGCAATTACGGATAGAAGATGAGGATCACGTACTTGGATTTCCATAGCAATCTGGGCTACCGAAAAAGGTGGCTCTGGAGCACGTAAAAGTGTCCTGAGAGGTACACATGGCAGGTAAGAGCAGTGTCACACAAAGAAGGCCAAGTTGGTGCTTAAAATTCAGTTCCATGTTAAATGACAAATTATCAAGCACAAAGAGGAGAGAAATGCAGCAAGTGTTTAGGACTTAGGAGTGATCAAGAGAAGGCTTAATTGATGAGATAGAAAGCAAAAATAGGGAGTCATATTTATAGCACAGTCTCGTGGTGGTAGCCAATTCTTTTTATTTTTTTCTTCCACTTGGGAATATAAAGTATAGACAGCAAGAGGATTGGAATAATGACGTGTCTGTGTAGACCCCTATGGTTGAACCCCTCAAGGGCCAGGTTCAATATATATAATATTAGAACCAATTTATTATTACAATGGCAAAATGCCTAACTTTGTTCTATTGTAACACTTGTTTTGGAAGATCGATCCATGCACTTGCAAATCAACTCGATCAGGGTTCGGGATCCTGGTAGAAATCTTAACAAAAGGAAATAATTAATACAAAGAATATATTGGTAGATACTCTTTTATGTATCTATCTTGTGCCCATTTTTCATTTTTGAAATTTCATCTTATACAACCAGTATTGTTAAAATCGCGATTTTAATCGTAGGATCGTTCCATCCTACGATTTTTTAGCAGCAAACGATACTAACTGCACGAAGAATCGTGTATTTGTAAGATCGAGTGAAACCGCCTTGCAAGATAGTGAAATCGTTTGAATTGGAGCGGGTCTCAAGATTATTTTCTCCATTTTTATCTTGGTATGATAGATTCAAACAACTAACAAGGAAGATGGAAATATAAAAAGTACATAAAAATCTTAAACTGTATTCGCATATCTACCGCGTGCGTAGCACTTAAGAGTTTGTTGGGAAAAAGAGCGTATCTATATAATGCAATAGCGAAATAAAAACAAATGTTTACAAAAAAAGAAGAAAAAAGAGATAGGACATAATAATTTTTTATGTACAAAACCATTCAAAAAACCACAAGTAGGTTCAAATCATCTACTATAATAATAGTAGGACTATAAATAGATATTCTTTACCAATATACCACTATAGGATTACAAACAATTTATTCACCCACTCAAAGGATGAAATATAAGGTTTATCTCTTACAAAAAAAAATATATGGATCTGAATCCTCTCATGTTAAGAAAATATATGATATAGTCATGTGTGGATAATAACCATACAAAGGTGGATCAATGATAATAAAGGAAGAGAGAAAAAAAATATTGAAATAGATAGTTACAAAATCATAACCATTGATTTATCTTTGTATGATTGTGATCTTTCACATGACGATGTCATTTTTTTTATATGAGAAGATTCATTTCCACTCTCTATTTAGTGAAAATGAATTCTAACACTTTCACAGGTGTTTTTCTCTCTAGTTTGAGAGGATGACATCTCTCATACTCTTTACTCGATGATGTGATTATTTCAACTTGTTAGAGAATTGCTTTGCCCTTTTCTCATGGAGGATTATTCTGTCTCAACTTGTTTATCATATCTCCTCCCCTATTTATAGATGGTTATTAGGATTTCCTTCATTATCCTAGATTCTTCATTATTTAACGTAGAGGATTTCAATACAACATTTCATTCTTTCACAGAATCTTGTCATTTTTCCGATGGATAGAAACTTCACAAGACGAACAATCCAATAATCTATCTAATTAAGCAAAAATAACTCCAACACATTCTTTTCTGAAGTTTTTTTTATTTTCCCTATACATAAAAACTTAAGAAGACACTAAGCTTTCAAGAAATAACTCCAAAAGAGATTGATGTTTCCGTCGACTAAAAAAGACAGAAAATTAGAAGAACGGGTAATTTATCTTAATGAGCATGTGCTTCAATTCAAATATCTAATAATTGCTGAAAAGGCTTGACATCAGTGATATATCTGATTATCTTATAGAAATTAAGGGTTTGATTTTCTATAAGATAGCTGATCCCTTTTTTCCATCTCCTAATCAAAGATACTTGAGATAATTTATCTCTATTAATTAGGGAAATCCTTTACCCAATTATATAACCACCTGTTTTATTTCTAAAGCTAAAAAGTTGTTATCAAATATTTTTAGAGTAAATATCATTTTTGGTCTTCAGCAAATTTTACGATGCCCGCTTTAGTCCCTAGCAAATAAAAAATTTAGTTGTGATCCCTAAAAAATTCAAAATAGACCAATTTAGTTGAAATCGTGGCCCCTCACAAATTCAAAAAAGACCCATATTAGTCCCTCAAAAGAATTAAAATGGATCCACTTTGAATTTCTTAAGGACCACGAATAACCTTTTTATTTGCTAGGAACTAAAGCGGACATCATAAAATTTGCTGACGACCGAAAATGGTATTTATTCATATTTTTAAGATAAAATATTAGAGGGAATAAAAATCAAAATCCAGATTCAATGGTATAAAAAATACGAAAAATGTTTGTTCTTTTAAATAACACAACTTATATTCTTTCACTCTCACAAAGAAGTGGGACCCACACTTTTATATTTTTTTGTCTACTCTCCCTCCTTCTTTATCTATCTTTTCTCTCACTTAAAATGACACAACTTTACATCCTTTAAAATAATACACATTTTTTCATAAAAAATATATATAAATAAAGGAATGACATAAACAACTAGATTAGATTAATTTATTATCCAAAAAAAAAAAGGATTAATTTATTTTATTCAATCCGATTGGAGGACTGTCACACTGGTACCAACATCGATTGTAACGTAGTAAAACATCTAACAGCCACGTTTGGTTCTAACGCTCCTAGTGCATCAGTCCACTCGGCTCTCGCCGATTCGTTAATTAGTATGAGCACAAGCTGTAACCCAATTCAACTTTGGAGTTTGGACGCCTTAAGGGCAAATCAAATCAAATCATTTTTATTTTTTTTAATAATCCAGAGGTATCCCTACATTACTTTTTTGAGTTTTTCATCTAAAGAAGAGTGAGACTAATTTCACTTGAAGAAATGCGGATGTGATTTTGCTTTGATTCCCAAATAATTTCAAAATTTTACTTTAACTAATGTTTAAATATTTACGAAAACAAAACCTTGGAAACTAAGGGTGTGTTTGAACGTGTTTTTGTTTTTTTGTTTTCAAAAACTATTTTAAGAATGAAGTTTGAAAACTGATTTTGAGAGTAAAAAAATAATAAAACTTGTTTGAATATGGTTAGTTTAAAAGTTATAAAGAAGATGTAATTATTTACAAAAATGTCATTAATGAATTCTCAGATTTACAAAAATACCACCGTAAAATAATTTAAAATAAAAAAATTAATTTAATTACGAAAATGTCATTAATGAATCCCCTTATTTACCAAATTGCCACCGCACAAAACTAAAAATTACAAAACAACTTTGTAAAACATGTAAAACTTGTTTTACTTTTTCGATTTCCAAAACTAAAAAGCAGACACGGTTTTTAAAAGAGGATGCATGAAAATAGATTTTCAAACAAGATTTTTTGTTTTATTATTTTTAAAAGAGTTTGTTTTTTCTAAAGTTACTTTAGATAACTTTATCTAATGTTCATTGAAACGATGTTGTTTTGGGGCAGAAATCATGGTATTTTTGTAATTTTAATTTATTTCAGGGTTATAATAGTCTTTGTCATTCTAATTTTTTAATTTTTCAACTCCAAAACGACGTCGTTTCGATGAACATTAGACAAATTCATCTAAAGTAACATTAGATATTTTTTCCCATTTTAAAAACTAAAAACTGTTTTTGAAAACACAAATCAATCAGGTCCTAAGTTTCCTATTAATAAAGGTACAGAAAAACTTTTCTAATTATTATTATTATTTTCTCTTTTTCATCATCAATATGTCACCTCATTTTATAAGGGGTATACAGTAGGAGTAATATTTATTGTAGGTTCAGTGTGTCAACTATATTGATTCTAAATAGCGGTCGCATCCTTATTTTGCATATGCATTCACTTTGCATTATTATGCTAATTGTAGTTGTCGACATGCTAGCATGTTAGTGAAAGTGTTAGTGTAAGTCACCCAACTATCTATCGGAGTAGGTACTTCTTAATCCAACCCGTCCATTTGGTGGCTACTCTCTTTGTCTACAAAGTTGCAAAGATAGAGGGAGAGAGATGAATGCTAAAATCGAAAATATCTATTAGAATTTTATAGTACTAAGTACATCTATCAGAATTTTCCCCTTAATTTTTTAATAAATCATCTATAATATATTGATCGCACCTAACATATTTGTAAGCTATCATATTTCTTTTAAGTTTCAAAAATCAAAACGGACAGGTTATATTTATAAACTTTTTTATTTACAAACTACACTATATTCTTTTGAAAAAATACTGGTTACACTATGTTCTCCCGGAAGAACAAAGTATAATTTGTACAATTTTTAAAAAAAAAATTGTAAAGAGATCTGTCCCCAAAACTAAATACTTGCTACAAAGGACATTAACGGAACATATAGTTTTGGTACCTCTTAACATATTAACATTTCTACCAAAAACAAAAATACTCACACTCCCACTTTCTGTTTTGTTTTTGCCTACTCTTTCAGCACTTACTGTATATCTTTAATTTTTGTCTTTTTGTTATGCGTTAAGCTGCATTTCATGCTGCTTTCTTATATGGTAAAGAATTCTTAATTGACTTTCGTTCTGATATTCAACATGGTATCAGAGTCTCGTGTCCCGGGTTCGATTCTCGCCGCCCCCCACTTTCTTTCAAGTGAAATTTATTTGTTCGCACAGGTAGGTGGGCCTGTGCATTGTCCACTCTTCAAGCTCAGTGGGCTCTCGTGTGAGGGGGCGTGTTGAGATATATAAAATCATTAATGTAGCCTCACCCAACAGCTTAAGCTTTTGGGTGAGGCTACATTAATGATTTTATATATCTCAACAGCTTAATGATTTCACCGTCCATGTTGCTGATGGTCATTCCAGCACAATTGTCTTTGTCGATGATAATTTCGGCACTATTTAGAAGTTCCTCTTGAGGGGGAGCATTGTCCATGTTGCTGATGGTCATTCCAGCACAATTGTCTCTGCCGATGATAATTCTGGCACTG